GGGGGTGCGTGCGTGTGTGCGTGTGTGTGTGTGTGTGTGTGTGTGTGTGTGTGTGTGTGTGGCGCCGACAGCCTGGCTGTCTGGCTTGGGCATCTTCCAGAACTAGCCGCGCTAATGACAAGGGAAGAGGAACTGGCTTCCTGGGCAGTCTCCCCCGCCCCACAGTTCTCCGCGGAGGGTGGCTGGCGGAGGGAGGAAGCGCGCTTAGGGAGGCGGGGCCCGCCGTTCGGGCGCGCCTGGGATCGTGGCTGCGGGATGCCGATCTGACCCGGCCGGGTGAGTGTGTCTTTAAATCCGCGCCCCCCGCCGTCTAGGCGGAGGAGCCGGGGCTCCCGCGGCCGGGCGCGGCGGGCGCGGTGATTGGCGGCCGGGCCGGGTCCTCCCTCGGCGTGGGGGCGCGGGCGGCGCGCACTGGCCGGCGCACGGCTCCCATCGCTCTCGTTCCTCGCGCGGTCTGCCCGGCCCGGCCGCCTCCGCAGCCGCCTCCGCCTGCGGATGGGCTGGGGAAGTTGGCAGGAGCCAGTCGAAGCCCGCGCCGGGCGCGCACCACCGCCGCCTGCCTCGGCGCCCACAGCTCAGGCGCAGCGCGCGGGTCGCAGGAGCACGGGTGACCCCCGGAGCCGCAGGCTGGCAGGTATCGACGCGCCTTCGCCCGGCGCAGATCCGGGGAGGGCAGATCCGGGGCTGCTGCGACCAGACCCGCTGGATTGGTGCCTCGGAGGCAAAAGGGACCCACTTACTAAAGGGCGAGCAGTTACCAGGTCGGTTTCTGCGTCGGCCTGGGAAACTCCCTTGCCTCCAGGTGTCCCTCGGGTTGGGGTCGACTTAGGCTGGCGACACCCCCACCCTTCATTGCTGGGCCTATGAGTGCGACCAGAGGGCTGGGCTTCCTGCAGAGTTGCGGGGAGGGAAGCCATCTCGTGATCTGGAGATGGGGTCCCCAGACTCATGCCTAGGAGGCTTGAAGCGCACAGACCCAAGACGAGTGCAGAGGTCCCAGTTCACATAGGCTTTGATTTTTGGCCCTCTTCCTCAGTGGACCTGGGTCCCTGAGAAGGGCCAGTTTTTCTTCTATAGAGGGTTTTTCTGAAGGGGCAGTGAGTAGTCACAAAGCTAGGTCAATGGGAAACCTGCTGTGCCCTACTCCTTACAGTGGTGGGGATGGCTGAGCGTGCTCTTGTCCTGAGGAGTCAGAGATGGAAAGAAAGCCTCCCAGCCTCAAGAAGCTTCAGGGCATCTCTGGTCCCACCCAGAGTCCAGGCAGGCACTCCTTGGCTTGTTTGCAGAGCAATCCGAACCCAGACACCCAGCACCTGCTAGATGCCAGGCTCTGGACCATGCTGGGGAGGGTGCGAGTGGTGGGAGGATTTGGAGGGTTTGTCCTCACTTGGTTCAGCCTTGCAAGGGAAGACAAGACAGAAACATGCAGAAAGTTCTCTGTGATGGTTTCCATACCAGCTCTGGACTGCCAGTAGTGGGGTAACTGCCTTGTGGGTGATTCAGGCCCGGAGACACTGGGGGAACTCAAGTCCAGTTCTCATGCACCCATGCACGTGGGCTCCAGCGTTCTGGATGCAGACCTTTGACCCCCGTGGGGGTCAGGCTGGGGAGGTCCTTCTGCCTGCATATATGCCTCACCCCCTCTTGCAGGGTTTTTTTTTTTTTTGGTACTGGGGATCAAAGGGTCCTTGCGCTTGTGCAGCAGGCGGTGAAACCACTGAGCTAAATCCCCGGCCCTCTTGCAGAGGTTTTGTTTTGGGTTCCCAAGGACTATTTGGTTTCTGTGGCCAGGCTGAGCACAAGACTCTCAGAGCAGCCCTGAGACACCTGGAGTGTAGGGTTTAGGGCCAGTGCTGTGAGAAGCTCAGAGGCAAGTGGGAGGAAGTCCCCACTTCCTTTCTGAAGAGTCTACATCGCTGGAGGCTGGCGGTGAGGTTGGGAGGCCGGGAGACACTGGGCCAGACATGGTTTCCTGTGGATGCAGATGGGCTGTGGGTGGTTATGTGTTGGGGTGGGCAGGCTGGGGCCCCGGGCAGCCCTGACTTCACTTCTGTGGGTTTTGCGGAATCTGGGCCTCTGTCTCCTCTGTTGTTCCTGAAACACTTCATGGAGGTGTCAGTGCACTATGCTCATGGCCTTGGGCACTGTTCTGGGAGTGAGAGTTGCTGAGCTCACCCAAAGTCCTCGGCTAGCACTGTGGTAACTTGGTGAACACATTCACCTGCCTCAAACAGGTGGCACCCAAGACCGATCACTCTGCACAGTGGGGATGCCCGTGTAGGCAGAGACCTGTGCGCATGCTCAGGCTCATAGCTGTGTAGGCAGAGGTGTAGAGGAACTGAGCACATGCGTATGTGAGAGCAGGCAGAGGAGACTGTGGGATGGGTAGACAATCCCAGGACGTGTGCAGAGATAGGCTTACATGTCCATATGGACCACAGACATGTATAGAGACAGGTCTACACCGCCACTGGGATTTCAGTCTACATGCCTGGGAGGCAGATGTGTGTGTGGGCAGATGTACAGGTACACTCGCCAGATCACAGACAGGGATGTGAGCTGACATTTGCAGACACAAGACACGAGGCCACACGGAAGTGGCTTCAGTACCGAGGCAGACAAGGGCTCCCAGGGGAGGCACCTGCACGTGCCAGAGGCACCTGGCCACACAGACAGGGGCTAGACAGTCCTGGGGACTGAGCTGTTGTCTGAGGCATTCAGTGGTATGTGCGACAGCAGGGAGAGGGTGTCTTACTCGGGATGGTGGTGAGACAGGTGCTCTGTAGTGTAGCTTCATTTCTATGCTCCTGCTGAGGGTTTGAGGGCCCTCAGGCTCAGTGTCCTGTTATCTGAGTGTCACTTGACCTTGATCTAGACTATAGGGCACTTGCAGAAGCTTCTTGAATCTTTGATTCTCATCTTCCCTGGGACCCATGAGCTCCCTGAAGAGAGGCTGTATGGCCCGGGGTGGTGTTTCAACTGTTCTTTGCCCCCCCCCCCCCCATAGAGGGGTATTTTCCTCCTGAACCCAAGCCTTCGGGTCTCTGGCAGGGCCTAGTTGACCCCTGGAGACATGCAGATGGGTTTAAGATGACAGCCACTGTCCCCTGGTATGGACTTGCCTGGGCTTGGACAGAGCAGGGGTACCACCTTCTGGCTATGGTCCGTCTCCTCTGCCCAGCCTGGCAGCTGGGAGCCAGCCCTAGTTCCAGATTCAGTTTGACACTAACTCCCTGGGTCTCATTTCTAAAGTGGGCCAGTAACCCCAACCCTGGGGAGGTTGGAGAGTTACATGGAGAAAATCAGTGGAAGGCACGCAGTGTCTGGCCAACACACAGTACCTGGCCAGGATTAGGGCTGGGGATTCCGAGCAGCAGCCTCTTCTGCAGCTGGAACTCTGCAGAGCTTCAGGCAGGTGGCCCTGAAGGGTGCCTGGGCAGGCTGGGCACCTCCATTGAAAGCTGGAGTGCTTTGTCCTTATGCCCTGCCCACCACCTCTCCTAGCCCTGGGGACCTCCACGAAGGGTCAGGACGGCAGTCTGGGTGTGTGGAAGCTTGGGCCTGCTGCCTGCTGGGCCTCTGGGAGGGGAGCCAGTGGTTTGCTAAGAATAGCCCCAAATCGTGGCTCTAGCCTTCCAGCGAGGGCAACAGGGCGGCTCCCGTCCCAGGCCAGGGTCCTTGCAGATGGCTTTTTGTTTTCTGTAGCAGGCATGGGTGCAGGAGTGGGCCTGGCACCTGCAGGCTCTGCCCCCTCCCTAGGACTTTGGTGTGATGTGGGCACAGAAAAGGCTGGTGACCACTGGCCTTGATACTCCCTGAGTTCCTCTGCACTTCTGGCTTGTCTTGACCATCTTCCTACGAGCAGGAGACCTGTTGTGATTACGATGTCAGCCCCAGAGCAGACCCTCAAGGTCTGAGTTCCTGCCAGCTGCTGCACTAGCTGTGTGGCTCCGAGCATCCAACTTAACCTCTTTGGGCCTAGATTTCCCTGTGTATCCGGGATGGTGATAGGAACTCCCTTGTAAATCCATCACAAAGACGAGAGGAGAGTGTGCGGGAAAAGGCCTGGATTACTGTCTGGCTCCTGGGATGTGCTCGATACACATTAGGTGCTGTGGTCACGATCAGTATTTTCTCAGCAGAGGAAAGATCTCTGGTACCAGGGAGCTGGGTGGCTTGCATGGTGCCCTATGGGAGAGAGGGACCAGGATAGCATCTTGATTTTGGGGTCTTGGCCCCGGGTTTGGCATGAGATGCAGGGGACCCAGCAGCGGATTACACTCTGGCCCTGCCAGGAGCTGAGTGAGGTTCTAACCTATGTTATGCCATCCTGCTCTGGTGCCCTTCCCTAGGGCCTGTGGTTGGAGCTGGAGGGAGGGAGCAGCTGGTCTGGCGGAACTTCCATGGAGGGCTGGGGGTAGGGAGTGACACCTGGGCAGGAGCTGGGGCACCGCTGTGATGAGAGACAGGGTCTTCTGGACTTGGTGTGTACTGGGAGGAGTGTGGGTTGCCCGAGAATGGGCTGCAAGACTCGGGGCTGGGGGCACACAAGGGAGAGTGGTGGGTGTCCCAGGTGACCTGGGTGCTTGCCAGCCTCTGCCTCCCAGGCACTGCCCTCTCGCTGTCTGTCTGCCCTTCCCAGAGTGGGATGCTCGCTTGGGTCTGTTGGGAGATTCATTTTGGAGAGCACTTCTCCAAAGTGGGAACTTCTCCCCTTTTCTGTCTCCTTCCTGGATCTGGAGAACGTCCTGAAGGAGTTAACCCCTCTTGCGCTGAGCACAAGAAGCCACCCTGTGCTGACCGAGCCCCTGCTCCATCAGAGCCCCAGGACCCACCCTGGCAGGGCCCCACTGACCTGGACTGAGTGATACTTAGCTTGGCTCTGATGAAGTCTCCTTGAGGTCAGGGGCCCCTGCAGGTGCAGCTCCATGGTGGCTCCTGGTGGCTTTGCCTGACTCTCTCCAAGGCCTGTATGGAAGCTCTGGTTTCCAGAATTCCCTGAGAGGAGGGTCTTCCTTGGAGATCAGGCCCCCAGGGTTACCGAGCCCTTGGTGGAGGTGTAGGGCTGTAGCTTCTCCATGAGGCTGTGAACCAGGCCTGTGGTATTGGTGAAGAAGCCTTGGGCTGGCAGTTCACTGCCCTCTTTGAACCCGGATTTCTCATCTGCAAAATGGGCACAATTTTTCCTTGTCTGCCTAAAAATTTTTTTTTTTAAACTGATGAAATTCACGTAACAAAATCAACCATTTCAAAGCGCACAATCCAGCAGCATTTAGTACATTTACAATGTACAGCCACCATTTCTTATCAAGTTCCAAAATACTATTTTCTTCTGTGGTTCTGTGGTGCTGGGGATTGAACCCAGGGGTGCTCTATCTCTGAGGTGCACCTCCAGCCCTATTTATTTATTTGATTAATTTTATTTTGAGACAGTCTTGCTAGGTTGCCCAGGCTGACCTTGAATTTGTAATCCTCCTGGCTCAGCCTTTCAAATAGCTGGAATTATAAGTGTGCACTACCATACCCAGCTCCAAAATACTTTCTTTTTTAACCTTTTTTTTTTTTGAGGCAAGATTTTGCCATGTAGCTGGCCTTGAACTCACCATGTAGCCTAGGCTGGCCCGGAACTCATGG